GAAAAAGCACTGGTGAAATCAATCAATCCAGCCTAGATATAATTGTCAGAGGTTCATTGTTAGTGTCCAGCTAGTCATCTACTCTCCCATCTTTAAGTCATACTCCTTGCCTTTTAAATACCTAGAAAAGTCCTCGTTTCATTTTGTAACTCTTTAAAGGAGGCAAGATGCCATGAAGAAGAGTAATTTATGTTTTAAGTTATATTTCAAAAGAGGCTTGATAGTGGCGCCACCATTAAAATGGCAGTGCGCCTTGGGAGGGACAAGGTTTCCCACTCAAGGAAACCCCCAGAGGACCAGTAGGAGAGTGTGGTGAATCTCCGTGGTGGAGAATGCCTGTTTGTGTGAGGTGGCGGCGCAACATGTCGACCACCTAATGAGGAAATCAACGACGGGGAAAACCCAACCTAGACATCGCAGAGACCTTAGGAGCTACTCTTCGCTACTACAACCAGCAGGAACTACAGCTCCAGGAACATTGTATAAGGTAGATAATTTTGCATTCCCTTTTTCCCTTGTTGCTAGGAAGCACATTATTAAATAATACGGTACAAGGCAGAACACATGTGAGGAGTAAGGCCGGACATTGTGCGAATTTAATTGTTATTCTTTTATGCCAGTGACTCTAATATTATATTATTGATTATGTAGAGATCCAGTGAGCTGAATATGATTTGAGTGATGTTATAAGAGGCTCATAAGTTGTAGAAAATGGTTACAGAAAAGGGTAACCTTATAATTCATAATGTGGAAATGGCAGTGTTGTCATATTATTGTCATTGACTAATGTGAGGAGTGTTGCCATCTAATAGAATAAGCAAGAATTTTACGGCCTCATTTGAATAAACATACAGTACGTAATTCATTTTATGCACGGTGTTTATTTCCTCACCTTCATTTCTGTATGTGTTATTCTTGGGGTTACCGAGCACCACTTACTATTGAATGAGTGCCGGACTGGACGAATATAAATACCACTGGACATGAAGTTATCTGGCAGCAGGTGAGTGCAGGTCAGGTTGGCAACCTTTAGGATATACAGTATTCTTATGTGCGGGCAAGCTGGCTTGGTTGATCCTTAAGTTTCCTGCCTGCAGGCACACAAACAGGAAGACATAGGAGTGACTGGCTTACCTTACTCACCACATGGTGGAGGCCAAAACTGTCAGTAGTTTCAAAGTGTTATATGACAAAGAGTGCAGGGTAGACGGAACACCATGAGCGTAGCTCTCATCCTGTAACTATACTTAGGTAATTACACTTAGGTAATTACACATAAGGGGCATAACTGGCAAACCCCTCACAGTGTTCAAGAGAGAACTGGATAAGCACCTCCAAAGGATACCTGATCAACCAGGCTGTGACTCATACGTCAGGCTGCGAGCAGCCGCGTCTAACAGCCTGGTTGATCAGTCCAGCAACCAGGAGGCCTGGTCGACGACCGGGCCGCGGGGACACTAAGCCCCGGAAGCACCTCAAGGTAGCCTCAAGGTAGGTAGGTAATTACACTTAGGTAATTACACTTAGGTAATTACAGGGGCAAAACTGGGTTCAGTCAGAACTCTACTCCATGGATGACTAAGGTGACTACTCCCCTTGGTGAAGAGTGGCACAGAGGGAGAGAAGTAAGACCTGCAGAGAGAGGAGCTCTAGAGAGCGAGAGTGCTACGGCACTAAAAGGCGTAGAAGGTATGTCGAGCTCTCTAGTGGAACATCAGCTCCTAATAAGGCAGAGTACATTGCCACATAATTGGTGACCTTGCCAGGATTCTTACTGAGTGGGTCAAGCCTCGCCAAACCATACATAGAAAATCAAACCCTCTCAAACCTGTACAGTACTTGGAATCACAAGTAATTGCCAAAAGAAGGCACCGATCTAAGAAGATTATGTATCAATCACAAGCGACTGCCAAATGAATAACTACCAGTTGAGCTGCCTCATCACCCACACCAGTCACCAAGGAGTTTTCATAATGCCTCAAAGCCTTATTTCCAAGTTCTTATGTATGGCACCTTTCTCTTGTAAGTTGTATATAAATTGACAAAAAACAAACAAGGAAAAATGCCCCCTATTCTGAAGAGTGGAGCCTAATGAGGTACTTTCCATACCAAGGAAGCTGCAAAGAACTAGCAGACAAGCACCAGCTCAGTCACTAGGATGAAGAAAACTCGCCAGAGAGAAGAAGAAGAAGGCCAAGTTAAACATACATTGGCAACCCAGCTGCCAGTGTGTGGGAGCAATGGTAGGTACCTAGTTGCACAGGTACAGTGTACTTGTACTATATCAGTGAAACGCCCCAAGCACATAATGCATGTTTTTACAGGACACGGCAATGAAGATAGCAGCAAAGGTAACTACAGTACCTTCAATTGTCTGCCCTGAAATATGCACACGTGCTTATGTGTCAGTAACAATAGGGGGAACAAAATCTAGCACTTTACTCCCTATTTCTAGCGGTCCATACCTAGTATATTACAGTAATTATATTTCTTAGACAAATACCCTTCAGTCTGCCGGCTTAAGCCCATCTAGGGGTCAGAGAAGCACCAGTAATAATCCTCAACCTCAGAGCAACAACCTCGACCAGGGAAAGAAGAGGAGCCCACCCTGAATTCCCACAGGGAAGCTGAACTAACCCCTTGCCCAGCAGGAGGTAAACAGGAAGGCACCACAGAATGCCTGAGGGAGGAAGAAATGATCTGCAAGTATGTGAGTTGCCTTGGGTTGCTGGATTGACTCTGGAGCTATGAGGAGTGCTGCAGTGCTGCAACCTGGTGGTAACTGGTGTGGGTGACCACTCAACCCAGCTAACAATGAAAACGTTTATTTGCCAGTCATCTATAATGCAAAGAGAGGACTTCAAAGGGCTTCAATATATCTTATAGACTGACCACTAACAGTTATTTCTGGGCTGGATTTATTAGTTTTCTAGCGATTCCCTCATCACATTATGACCCTACAGGAATGGTTGAAAGTTCTGCAGGTTGCCCTGACTCGCTGCACATCCTATGTGTCTAAGGACACAGTGGGATCCTACACAAGGGAGCACCTGAAAGTAAGAGCTTAGAAGCAGTATCTAACCATGGATTAATACACAGTACAGTTGAGGAGAAACCACTACAGACAAAGATGTATAAGGCAAACCACTACAAGGACAAAGGTGGACGTAGTATACCACATATTACTAAGGTGAACATAGTATACCACTACATTACTAAGATGAACATAGCACAACAACTATTCCAGCACCATTACAGCACAAAGGTGCAGAAGGTATACCACTACCGCACAAAGGTGCAAAAGGTATACCACTACAGCACAAAGGTGCAGAAGGTATACCACTACTGCACAAAGGTGCAAAAGGTATACCACTACAACACAAAGGTGAACAAAGCATACTGTACAGGTACCACTACAGGACTAAGGGGACTTATCAGGAGAAAGCACCAAGCCATTATGGCTATATAGCACTACAGGACTAAGGTGAACAAGGTATACCACTACAGGACTAAGGTGAACAAGATATACCACTACAGGACTAAGGTGACCAAGGTATACTGCTGCCATTAGTGCTCAATAATACATAGTCAATAACTCAAAATAAATCTTAATAAATTGACATTAAAGCATTCTAAATAACTAATGCAATTTTGAACAGCAAATTTAAGGTACTGTAGCAAGAAAAATCTGCAGAATTTCGTGGCATGCAAGCAATTATGTAACCCAAAGCCACAGTAATAAGAGAAGCAATAACAAACGAGAACTCAATGACATACATGCGATCTTCTAATAGGGAGCAATAAGTATCCATGTCCTCTTGTATAGGAAAATCTTCAGGATCCCACAAGGGCACCAAGGAATACTCATACAGTCCAGGAGGGTTTCTTGACCACATTAGTAAGCTTTGGGTGGGTCCTCACTAGTAGGCTACAGTGTCTACATGAACCCTAGATAAGCATGCCAAAAAAAAAATCAATGGTAGCGTTACCCTACCAACATACTGTACAGTATACTCTTAATTATGCAGTCTCCATTCTGTTCATTGCAAAGAAACATCCTGAGGCTATGCTTGTCCAAGCTGCAGTCAACCACTTGGCCACATTCATTAATTTTAATGTGCTGTGCAACCAAAACATTGTTTTTTAATATAAATTAACATTAATGTATAATTTTTGTAATTTTGTGTACAGTTATACAGTACCTAGAATAAGTTAAGTTTTTTTAAATTTTGATAAATTATCCATTTGCGGTATGTTGGTGATGCTTCTAGACAGATTTGATCTGAACACAGGAAGACCACAAAACGCAGTTCAATAAAAGTTTGAACATACTTACTGTAGCCGAGAGTCATTTGTAAAGGGTCATTTGTAGTCGAGTCATTTGTAAAGTACAATCCAAAATTTTACATTGTGAATACAGTATTAAGCTTTACAGTGTGTATTAAGCTTCATAATGTCCATTAAATTTTGCATTGTATTTATTAAATTTTACAGTGTATGTATTAAAATTTACAGTGTATATATATTAGGCATAACCATCTGCATTAGACTTTGCAGTGTGAATAACAGGAGTACAATAAAGAGAGGTGAATCATACTACACAGATGCAGTAACAGGATCCTAAATAACTGAGAACATACTGCACTGAAATGTGGTCATGCAATACTGATACCAATACGCAACAAAGCATTGTTCATTCTATACTGCTAAAAAAATTTCACTACATGCATTTACACAGTATGTAACAAAGGAATCTGATACTGGAATACTAACTAAAAATGAGAAGCCAAATGAAATCACATGAATAAGATCAACATATGAATAAAACAAATAGTCAAAGAATGAGCAGTTTCACACACACTTCTTTTTAATCAGATTTTCTAATTTGCAAATGGCATTCGGTACGTAAGCATGTAGATAAATCTTGGCACTTGTGCCAAGATCTCACACCAGTCAGAAAATATTATTTATGTATGTATACAGTATATATATATTATATATATATACACACACACACACATACACAGTACTGTATATGAATAAGTTAAGTTGCCGATTAGGTACAGTATAGGGACAAGAACAGCATTTAGGCTACAAGTCAGCCCATTTTTTAAATTTAAGGACACTACACCACATGCCATTTGAGATAAGTAGGCATCTTGCTCATTTGGTCAGATATTTGCAAACTAGTTGTATATTTACAACATGCTAGAGGGAATATAATTAATATCCACAAAAATTGCTAAAATCAAATTGAAAACTAACACTGGAAGAGTTTATAAAGTAAAACTACAATAAGGAACAGTACACATTAAAAGATTATGTATGTATTATACAGTACTGTATATAGAAAGGGATCTCAAATACTTGACTGATGCAGAGACTGATGAATGATTTGTACCAGGTACGACCACGGGCAAAGTTTCAGCTAGGCACAACCTGATAAACTTTACTTATCCTAGGTGGAAGCAGGAGCACCGAGAACAGTGTTAACCAAGTGAGTGTAAGAGTTTAGCCAAGTTGTACAAGACAATCTTACATCCTTGCCTTGTTTTCAACCCAATCTAAGCGTTTAGGCTCCGGTGAATCACAAGTCAATAGCCAAAATTAATAATTTTATATCACAATTCGTTCTTAACCTGCATGCAGTGATGGAAATGGGGGAGGAAGGGTATGTGGGTAAATGGTATATACAGTACCTACTACTCAATTTCTAAGTATTTTATGTTCCATTTCTGTACTAACAGGCATTCATTAGCTATCCATTGCCACATTTTTACTAATAAAATTAATTGTCTATTTGTTATAATTATGGATGATTAATTATGATCCCTTGTGATCCCCAAGCATAAATCCTGAATACAGCCTTAGCAAGTATATACCTAGTTCCCAAAACCCATTCCATCACTGCCTGTATGTTAGTGCTGCATATTACCTAGGAAATGAACAATGTTAGAAAACAACGGCACAAAAAATTACTTTGATACATTTTTTAAAATTGTCATAGTTGCTGGCATACAAGATACACTTAATTTACAAGGTTGTTTTGTGGGTAAAAACGTTTTAGCATATTTCATCATACATTTAATGAATGTGATTTTCAGGTGGTTTAGTAGGGAGGAAATGTAATTTCATGAATGTAAATACAATATATATTTAATATGTCATATCTGCAGGTAATTATGGTAGTTAAATTTGTGATCTATTATCACATTATGGTATAATGCAGATCTGAAAAAATTTGGTAACCAAATAATTACTGTAATACAAATAATTGAAATCTTATTACTAATGTCATAACATAAGCAGAAAACACGCAAAACCTATAATAAGTAGGATATAAGTCACAGTCCCAAGTACACACGATTGTTCGACGACGTATTTTAAACCTTGTGTAACCTTACCCAAAAAGCAAACCAATCTTAACCTAATCAAGTCTAACAGCCTCAATTATCCTAATACTGCCTAACCTAACAATACATGTGGTTTAGACAATCAGAAAACAAGCTTTGTCAAAACAATGTCTAGTATATGATTTGACCATACCCCCAAACACTAGACCATAGCAAAACACAGCCAACAGCCCAAGTAAATATGAATCGTGAATGACAAGATTGACTACTAATGGTTTGATGTCTCATATCCTACTAAATTATCAAAAGAAGGCACTAAGCTGGAAGACTACTTAAAAAAAAAAAAAAAAAAAGAGTACCTAACAATGAGGAACACTTGGGTAATAGGAGCGACATCTTCACCCGGTCCGTCTAATTACCGCAAGCTACCACAAGCTACACAAACTTCACTGAGCTTCCTAGCAGAACGTTAGTAATGAATAAATATGATATACTTACTCATTATAATGTTGGTGCTGAATGTACAACACGAAAAAACAATTTTAATCTGAAAAAGTATCTTTTTATAAAGAAATTAGACGAAAATAAAGAGTTGGTGATGCCAAATCAAGTCAACGATCCAAGCGTCGCTTAGGTTAGGTTTGGTTAAGTTAGGTTAGGTCAGCCTAACCTATCATATTTATTCATTACTAACGTATTGCCAGGAAGCTCGTGTAGCTTGTGGTAGCTTGCGATAATTAGACGGACCCTCTTCACCGAAATATCTAACCAACTAACCCTGACCTAACCACCTACTATATAACTTCACTAACTTGACCATATTCATTTGTCACTCCTATGAAACTCATCAGGAAGAGCCTAAGCATGTTACAGTCCACCCTAAGGTACACCTCGACCACCAACACGACCTGACAGTTACAGTTCCCCCCCCCCTCACCCCAGGCCAGGCCAACTGTGGACGGGAGCACAGTATACTCACAGTTTATCTTCCTCCAGGTAAAACTCGTCCTCAAACTCCATAGGTGGAGCGGCTGTGACAGGTGTGAGGATAATATTGACTGGCTGAGTGTTGACAGTTTGTGATGACGAGGCACAGCTGGGAGTGTTGACGAGGCACAGCTGGAGGTGTTGACGAGGAACAGCTGGAGAAGTTGACAGGCTCAGTGTTGATGGGGAACAGCTGGAGGTGTTGACAGTCTCAGTGTTGACGGGGAACAGCTGGAGGTGTTGACAGTCTGGCAGGGAAGACTGTCCAATCGTACACAGACGTTTAACACCCACCTCGAGTTCTGAATGGTAAAACTTTACATATCTGTTAGATAATGTATGTGTGGTCAAGTGTGTTTTCCTTGAATTGGTTTAGGTTAACTTTTAATATAAGAAATCCATTGTCGAACCTTCTTTAGTGCAGTCACCGTGGCGCAGTGGTAAGACACTCGACGCCCGGCGCTTTGCAAGCGCTTTGCCTGGGTTCGTATCCTGGCCCAGGAGGATTGACTGGGCGCCAATGCTTAACTGAAGCCTCTCTTCGCCCAGCAGTTAAAGAGTACCTGATTCCTACATAGCCGTAAGAATTTCTATTATTATGTCACTAACAACATAGGCTAAAGTGGTTTTTAAAATGTTTAATTATTTGTTTTAATATCAAGCTTAGGTACACACAGCAATGTGCTGCTACCCTATTCTATATTTACTTGAGGGCCACTAACACTAGTACCCTCGACGAGGACAGGAAGCCGGCTGCTTGTCGAAGATCTCCCCACCCCCAATTTGCCTTGACGATCTTTTCCAGTTCGACTTAAAAATATAAGAGTTGGCATTTACGGCTTCGGCGGGTAGGCGGTTCCACGGGTTTTTAACCCTGTGGGTCAAAAAGCATCTCAAGTTCTCCGTCCTACATTGTGGCTTGTTGAGCTTGAAACTGTTGCTTCTTGTTTGTGTCAAATCTGACCTTTAGAAGAATTTGTTCGATCAAAAACCATAGGCTATATCTGCCGTGACCAGGATTCGAACCTGGGTTATTGCGGCCACAACGCAATGTACTAACCACTATACGATCACGGCCACCGAGCCCTATGAAGAGTAAAGACACTAGCAAGCATAGGTTTCGAGCATGGATCTTTAATCCTAATTTCCCCCCCTGAATACCGACCTGTGAAATTGTTGAACAACCAGCAGTACCCATTTAGTCACCACAGGGACTGCTAACCTTCAGGATTCGAATCCTGGTCACGGCATAGCCCAAGGTTTTATTTAGATATTGTTGCGACTATCAAAGAATAGCGTCTAAGTATTATCAACCAGTGCCCAAGGTGACGTCAGTTCAACGTTGAATTAACGTTATCAACAGTAATTGAACGTTGATTCGACGTTGGTGTTGGATGTTGTGGCTTTGGGTGGATCCATGGGATCACAGAGCACCCACTAGAGGCATATATGGGTCCCGTTACCTCTGCAATGTAAAAGCCTACTAAGTCCACCCGGCTATAAAAACTCGAGTAACTTTACTCAACGTTGACTCAGCGTTACATCAACGTTGATTCAGCGTTACATCAACGTTGATTCAGCGTTACATCAACGTTTATTCAGCGTTATATCAACGTTTATTCAGCGTTACATCCTAGGATCTCTCCTATTTCTTATATACATCAATATATGATCTGCCTAATGTCTAACATTCTTAAACCTATATTATTTGCTGATGGTACTACCCTCATCTACTCAGACCCCAACCCACACACATTAAATAATGTTGTAAATAATAAACTAAAAAAAAAGTCCACTTATGGATGTCAACCAACAAACTCACACTAAACAGAAAAGACCTACTACATCTTATTTGGAAGCAAATTAACAAATGCATTTCAGCTCCAAATAGACAATGTTAACATCAGCAATAAAAATAATGGAAAGTTCTTATAGCTTGGCCTATACATGGACAAGAGACTCAACTTCAGCACCCACATACATCACATAACCAAGAAAGTCTCAAAAACTGTCGGAATACTTTATAAAATCAAATATTATATTCCTAACTAGCGCATAGTATAATGAGAGGAGAGGAATCTATCCCTATCTTACATACAGTATCTGTGCATGGGGTTCAACCACTGCAAACTACCTCAAGCCCATCATCATCCAGCAAAAATTTGCTATCAGAACAATGACACACTTTGTTTACAAACAACACTCGAACAAACACTCACTCCACACATTCTCTTGTGCCATTTACATGTACTAAACCTTGTTCTTAAATACAAAGCCTGATCTAAAACTCTTCCTTGACAGATGTAATAGGACCCATAATCACCACACCAGAAATAAATATCTCTTTGATATCTCCAGAGTCAAACTTAATCTGTGTAAACGCTCTATACAAATAAAGAGACCTAGTCTATGGAACTCACTCCCTAACGAATTAAAAAGCTGTCCAACCTACCCCCTTATTCAAAAGTAAAACCAAAAGTACCTAATTTCATCCACATAGTTTACTACCTAGTGCTTCAAACTCGCATTGTACAAGATTCTCAGAGGAATTGATAGGGTAGATAAAGAAAGATTAACACAGGGGGTACACACACACTAGTGGGATACAGGTGGAAATTGAGTGACCATTGGAGCCATGGAGACTCTAGATAGAACTCTTAGTGTCAGAGTAGTTGTCAAGAGGAATGCATTAGGCAGTGATGTGGTGGAGGCTGACTCTATGCACAGTTTCAGGTGTAGATATGATAGAGCCCAGTATAGGCTCTGGAACCTGTACACCTGTTGATTGACAGTTGAGAGGCGAGACCAAAGAGCCAAAGCTCAACCCTCGCAAGCACAAATAGGTGAGTACGTACACTAGAATCATACACTTTTAAAAGTCTCTCTCTCTCTCTCTCTCTCTCTCGCTCTCTCGCTCTCGCTCTCGCTCTCGCTCTCGCTCTCTCTCTCTCGCTCTCTCTCTCTCTCTCTCTCTCTCTCTCTCTCTCTCTCTCTCTCTCTCTCTCTCTCTCTCTCTCTCTCTCTCTCTCTCTCTCTCTCTCTCTCTCTCTCTCTCTCTCTCTCTCTCTCTCTCTCTCTCTCTCTCTCTCTCTCTCTCTCTCTCTCTCTCTCTCTCTCTCTCTCTCTCTCTCTCTCTCTCTATCTCTCTCTCTCTCTCTCTCTCTCTCTCTCTCTCTCTCTCTCTCTCTCTCTCTCTCTCTCTCTCTCTCTCTCTCTCTCTCTCACTCTCACTCGTCGTCAGGAAGCACAAGCGCGTCACCATGTAGGCGCGTCAGGAAGCACAGGAAGAGCCTCCAAGACGAGAGCGGAAGCGCTGGGCGGACAAGGGCAGCGCGGGCCCCGGGGCCTGGCCGCCCTCACTCTGTGTCCTGGTGCCATCATCTGGCGCTAACTCCCACCGGAAGTGTCGGGGGAAAAGAGAGAGAGAGAGAGAGAGAGAGAGAGAGAGAGAGAGAGAGAGAGAGAGAGAGAGAGAGAGAGAGACAGAGACAGACAGAAAGCCAGAGCGAGAGCGAGCAAGCCAGAGAGAGCGAGTGTGAGTGAGTTAGCGAGTTAGCGTGACTCAACCTAACCTCAGCTAACAAACCCGAGCCTAACCTCAGCTAACAAACCCGAGCCTAACCTCAGCTAACAAACCAGAGCCTAAACTAAGCTAACACATCATAGCCTAACGATGTACACGGGTTTGATAATCAGATAACAAGCAATGTCGTACCATCTTGTATGCGAGTTGACCACTCCACATTGGAGCTGCGAATATGGCCTTCCGTCTGGCGATTTCTTGCATAAGACTGGTTTAAGGTGTATGACGTGACTGGCTCTTGTAGTACGGCGTGTGTGTTAATGTGTGCAGGAAGGCCATCACAACACCTGACTTAAGTAGCAAGAATGTTAATATTATCATGCAACTTAAATTTGCTTTAGTTAAGCCTCACTCTGATTATAGTGAGCTACGTTGGTCACCCAACCCGTCCACCGGCCAAGAGCTGACAATTTGTTTTTAAACCCTACAACGAAAGAAAGTTGATGTACACCGTCAAGAATCTTTCTTAAGTGTCCGATAGAATTTGAGATTAAAGAAAATGTACACCTTAGATTTTTTAATAGAAAACTTGTTTACCATATTCTTTTTATAACTTAAACCCTTGACTTACAATACAATACAGTTATAACTTGAGAAAATTCTCTGTATAGGACATATATATAAGCTCATTTCCCTGTTTACCGGTAGTTTATTATTGGAACTGTAATATGCTTTAATTCAGACCATAACTATCCAGGTGGTCTAAGAAGGCGATTGGTGGTGTCTTGATCTAATCACTTTACCATAAGTATTGTGAGGGATATACATATTGTATTGTAGTTTTTTATTTAGCGATCAGCATTTCTTTTTTTTTTTTTTGCTGAGCGGTTAGTTGTTATTTTGTTGGGTGATTTGTAAATGTTTATAACGCTATTTGTAATTCTTTTTTTGGCAATTTGTAAGTTTTTGTTGGGTAATCTGTATTTTTTCTGGGGAGTTTTTATTTATTTGTATTTGGAGATATGTAGTGTTATTTTACTGTTGGTGAGCCTGGGCGAACAGCACAACATAGACTAACGGAATGTTATCATGATAACAAGCCTAATTGCAGTTTCGTCTTTTTTATGCAACAATGTTAACCATTACTTATAGGAGTACCTGGTTTGAGTTTTTTAGGAAATTATAATTTGTCTTACAAATAACCGAATTGAACCGACAATATATTTCAAATTCAAATGTTTATTCAGGTAAAGTACATACATACAAGGTGTGATACAAACATTGATAGACTTATAGATAGAGCTAGTACATACAATGTCTAAAGCCACTATGACGCAATGCGTTTCGGGCAGGAAAAACAATAAGACTTATATCAAGACTATAAGACTATATCAAGACTATAAGACTTGATATAGAATAACAGCACTTGTGATATTAAGGTAAACACAACGGTTGAGATCCGATAACAGGAGCAGCGCCAAAATAATTGATGTGACTGAAAATAAAGTCTAATTATAATCATAAAGTCACTGGGCCATAGGTTTGGGCAAGTTTAACACAAAATTTAAATAAAAGAGACTAATTACCAACATTATATGTTTATAACCACATGCTTAATGAGCATTTAGCAAGTACCTTTGATGAGATTTAGAAGCATTTTATTTTTTTGTTCGTGAGTCATAGCAAATTTGGGTTCTATAAATGGGTAATTAGATTCCTAGAGTCACGAAGCTCCATGTATTTCTTCGTAAGTAGGTTTGCTACGAAGGTTCCTAAGTATGCCCTAAGAAGAAGCTTAGGTGCAATTCAGGTAGGTCTACTCAGGATGATATTTGTTGGTTCACCTGCGTGCCGATAGAGGTCACTACTGTGTTTCGTTTGGCCAATCAGAGAGCAGCAACATTCTTCATATTGAAGATTTAG